ATTCTACAATAAGTTGTCGTGGTTTGTGCCTGAACTACCTGAAAAAGATATCTCAAACGTGGTGATCCAGTGTAGGTAGTATTCTACAATAAGCTGTCGTGGTTTGTGTCTGAACTACCTGAAAAAGATATCTCAAACGTGGTGGTCCAGTGTAGGTAGTATTCTACAATAAGCTGTCGTGGTTTGTGTCTGAACTACCTGAAAAGATATCTCAAACGTGGTGGTCCAGTGTAGGTAGTATTCTACAATAAGCTGTCGTGGTTTGTGTCTGAACTACCTGAAAAAGATATCTCAAGCGTGGTGGTCCAGTGTAGGTAGTATTCTACAATAAGCTGTCGTGGTTTGTGTCTGAACTACCTGAAAAAGATATCTCAAACGTGGTGGTCCAGTGTATGTAGTATTCTACAATAAGTTGTCGTGATTTGTGTCTGAACTACCTGAAAAAGATATCTCAAACGTGGTGGTCCAGTGTAAGTAGTATTCTACAATAAGTTGTCGTGGTTTGTGTCTGAACTACCTGAAAAATATATCTAAAATGTTAATGTGGGTGTCTGGTGTAGGTAGTATTCTATATGATGAGCTGTCATGGTTATTCTAGTAAACAAGTTAATAAAATTAAAACCACGCGAATGAGGTTTTTTAAAAGGAGGCCAGTAACAAACTGACTAATAACGCCTTCAGTTCGCTCTGCCGATTTGTTTTTGTCCGAAACGTTTAAGTATTTTTAATCCCTTTTGAGTCGCATAAAAGAGAAAGAACTAGTTGGTGTAGACCATGCCTGCAAGGCGAGTGGGTGTTAATTTGAAACAATGGCTACCTGGCTACCCCTCCCTCGCATATGTGTGGGCCCTGTCTTAATCTTTTTAAAGCAAGGTGACACGGCGTTAAATACATGTGCTTTACCATTCTGTAATAACGGTGTTTTGATTCCTGCAATACACAGCTTTGAATGTTTTAAATAGTGAAGAATTTTGCAATAACGTATAAACTCTAGTCCCAGAGGTAAAGTATAATATTAAAATCTGTCAGTTTTTCTTAAGATGAAAAGCTTGCCGTCCATAGCCAATAAATGTAACAGGCAATAATTTAATTGAGAAAAATTGATACTTTTGTAAGTTCTAAGTTTGCGGGTGGATTATAGTTTAAGAAATGAGACAACATTGAACAAAGTGACTTAAATGAAGTTACACCTATTATACCTCGATTGTTTGCACATGTTTTAAACTTCTCAATGGCAATTCGATAATTGCGGAATTACCTTGTTACAAAAGGACCTTTGTCTTGCGCCTGTAAGCCTGGGAAATGTAACAGGCCATACGGATGAATCGGAGAGCGCAGTCACATGGCTTTATTCATGCGGTTTGCTTGGGGTATTTGGTCACCCAGCAAAGCATGCCTCAAAGCATGCTCGCTCGCCTACTGATTACACACTCTTGTTTGTCAGAGACGTTTAATTGAGGCCACATGGCCTTTTGTTTGCCACACTGTTTTCATTCCGTGAAAGAACCGCACACGGGCGACGTTCTTCGTGCTTTTCGCAGGCGTGCGCGTTACAAAGGCGTGGTGGCCTCGTGGACTCGTAGACCCTTGAACAATGAGCTACTCCCTCGCAATGTGAGCTCTACAGAATCCCCTAAACAAATACCATTACCAAATCATAAAATATCTTCATTGTACACTTTTAACCACATTAAATTTACCTCGAGTTCTATTTCGAGATCACGCCATAAAATTAGAACCAAGCACGTTATGCAAATTAGTTTCTCTAATAGTTTAACAAATTCACTTTGTTCCAATCCTTGCTTTCTGATGCTGTTTAATTTAAAGTTTTTATTTGGCGTGGTAAAGCTTTCCAGACTGCATTTAAAAGCCCTTTGTGGGTTTGCGTGTGAGAGTATATCAGACGTCATTTTGTCGAAAAACTGACCAAGTTTTATTGAATAATTTGGCAACGGTTTTGGAACAATGTAGATCAGGGCTTTACAGGATTGAAAGCTTTTTCGAAATAAAAGTCAAGATAATTTTAAACTATCTGGTCAGCCCAAATTTCTTTAAACTCTCCATATATATATAATTTTTTGAGTTAAGAAAATCAACTAACTTTTACTGGCTTAGTTATTAAAGCGTGTGAATTGCTTATTCATTTTGAATCTCACAGATCGAAAGCTTTGCAAATTCACTAATTCGTGTCATGTCATTTTTACAAACCAAATCGCTTCAAAAACTACGTCAGGCATCATCTCGATTTGTAAACCAAATACCGTTTAGCTATCTAGCTTGTTAATTGCCCATTCTCTTTGTATTTAGGGATTTCGATGAACACCTCAAAAAGCCAGACTTGTTCAGTTAATCCTATTAAATTTGAAAATTCAAAGCGATAAACGGACGCCCCTTGAACGGTAAGTTGTCTCTTTAATCTGTTAACTTGTTTGTTTTTGTAAAAGATATTCATTTAAGATGGCATGTAACTATTAAGGATGTAAAAGTTACAACTATGTATCGATTCATTAATGGACATAAAGAGTTGCAGTTTAATGCTAGGCTTACGGTATTCTGGGTAGCTTTCTCTAGCGGCGCGAAAAAGCTCCTATAATCTATATACGATACAGAATATACAACTTTCCGAGGCTGAGCAAAACAACATCTCTCCGTTGTAATAATTCCTCTGAAAATAGCGTTCCTAAAAGGCACGGATAGGATAGAGTAAATTGAGTGTAATATGTGATGGATTTACTTTTAAATGATAGATACGATCAATCCTAGGTCGGACCTCAACTCAAGGTCTTAAAATAATTGAGGAGAAAGAGCTACCTTTACAATTGACATCAGTAAATGGTTAGACTTTCGCGACTTCTCAGATAAGGACGTTAAATCGTAGGTACCTCGCATCCCCTATCATTTGGGCAATAGCCTGTTGGCCGTGTTGGAAAATCCGCTCACCAATGACTGTGAAACCAAATGGTTATATATGATGATAGGGTTACAATTTAGCTTTTCCGTTACGTGATAAGATTTTAGCTTGATCGAGCGCAGCAATTCATGAATCATTAAACACGGGACATAATATATGTACTTACACTACAAGTACTGTACAATTATTGATAAGAAACACTTATGCAAGTTCAAGTGAAGTGAGTCCTTAAGTTAAAGACATGCACTTAAGATAATTACAGGCCAAACTAGGATTTACCGCTCATTGATTCCTTTCATGCTTTTCTTCATGAACAATTGTTTAAAAAGAGGGCCCGCATTTACAACAGCCGATTTCAATGAGTTTAAAATAAAGATAGTATATATCTATGCATACAAGGGATGTTATACTAAAATGTATCAATTTAGCAAGTGGGACAAAGGATATTTCTTTTGTATAAGGTCAAAGTATTAGAAGCGAAACAAAGAATATCAGTGCATCGTATATATTCTGCAGTTGTTTACATGCAACTGCCTATTTAGCAAACTTTATTGAAAGCATTATATAGTGTTGAAAATAACAGGTCTTTATAAATCATTATATATAAATCGAACTTTGATTATGAATAGAATAAAACTACAGTAAGATCAGTTGAAATAAAGACTTACGTTAACCATTATGAAATCAAAATCTGGATTATTAATGCAATCCGGCAGACAACGAGCTATAAACAGGCTTTCTAAAAAAATTAATTTTATCAGACATTTTCATACCACAGTGCAGTAACATGCATGAAATGATCATTGTTTGTAAAACGTCTTTTAAATTTTGCGCTTCGCTGCTATTGCTGTTTGGGCTATCATATTTTGGACAAAACGTGGCTCCCAACATCAAATATGATGGTGCATCTTATAGTTAAATCATACTTCAAAACTTTAACAAAATATAATCGTGACTGTATCTTAATATGCAAATTAACAGCTAATAGACTTCATTTGGTTGCGAAATTATGAACAACAAATTTTCGTTTAATTAAACCGCGGTACTTTTTGTACTTTTCAAAATCGCGGTGCTCACTTTTACACCGATGGAACAATAGCCTCGAAACTTTAATATTTTCCAAATGTGTTTCTAAAAAGGAGTTATAGAGGCTTTATGTGTAAATATACACAGCTTGAGGGACAATAAAAACTTTGTTAAATCTTGCTCCATTCTGATTGGTCGAGCGCACAGCTGCATTTTTTATTTAACTGGTATCTCTGGGTTGTCCATTTTAAAAGGAGTTTGCTTTCAAGAGAGGGAAGAGATATACTTCGAGAAAAAACTCTAGCATAGATAATCTAAGTACAAGAGACAAAAGGCTGACTCTATTGAAGAGGTGTAATCAGTTGGTCAGAAGGCAACACATTTGGAAAGGAAGATATTGGAATTTAAAGGTTCAACTTTGCCAAAGCCAGAATTTGCCAGAAAGCTAATATTGAAAGAGTCGAAACGCACAAAGAGGCGAAACATCGAATTTCAATTCTATTGAAAAACGTTTCCTAAGCTGGTCACACAAGATTACAAAATATAAAGGATTGCAATTCATAAAGTTTCAAGAATCAATCGAGGAAAAAGGAAGGGACGCATTTTTGAGAAAGGTCAGACAAAATACGAAATATATAAAGAATAAGCTTTAAAGTTAGATTCCATTGACGAATTTACCTTAACTGAGCGCAAAGTATCACATTTGATAGAGAAGACTTTTCAGTGAAGAAGTCAGGCGAATAAAGGCGGGCCAAGCTTTTGTAAGGCTATTTACGAAAAAGACAAAGCCTCGAATTTGGATTCTATTCAGAACTTTTCATTATCACAAAAGAACATAACTTAACTGATACAGAAACATATTTGATTAGCCATCTACGAAAATGGAGTACCAAGATTTCACATTTTCAATGCCGACCTGCTACCAGCTTGGCATCCCAAATGAACCTTCGGCGGCCGAAATCCAAGGGATGGCCTACCCCTTTCCCCCACAAATGGTACCCGTTCCCCATCCTCTATACGATTGCAATTTGGAACCCGCTTTCATACGGAAACGGAATGAACGCGAACGAATTCGCGTGCGACACGTAAACGAGGGCTACGCGAGACTCCGTGAACACCTTCCGAACGAACCCACCGAAAAACGCATGTCGAAAGTCGAGACTCTACGAGCCGCCATCCGCTACATTCGAAGATTGGAGTTGCTGCTTGATAACGCGAAGGACAAATCAGTTTTGTCTCAGAAGAATGCTACTGGTGACAAAGAAAAATGATATATGAACCCAATATTAGTTCTAGAAACTATAAAATAGTTCTCGAATTGCTCTGTATATCAGATAAAAAATAATATGACTTGTGTGTAAATTCTACCATGCCAATTGACCATTTGCGTAATAGACAAAATTTTGATCTAAACAAGTCTAGACAAAAATTTCATCACAGCTTGAAAGAGCATCACAAAATTAGTAATATTCCAAAGTTTCATTGTAAAATGTTGTAAAATGCGGATAATATAGCCTTGCGAAGTTTGCAATTTTCAGTCATTTTAGATTACAAATGGGAAATTGACAGCCTCAAAGCGTATCGGGCTGTCAATTTCCCGTTTGTAATCTCAAATGACTGAAAATTGCAAACTTCGCAAGGCTATATTATCCGCATTTTACAACATTTCGCAACGAAACTTTGGAATATTACTAATTTTGCGACGCTCTTTCAAGCTGTGATGAAATTTTTGTTCAGATCAAAATTTAGTCTATTACGCAAATGGTCAATTCTGATATAGATAGTCCGTCACTATTTCCATAAAATGGCAAGGGAATATAGGTATTAAAATGTCCATTGGCATAAGTATTTATTGAATACGTACAGTGGCGATTCACATAAAATGTACTGTACAAATTCTACCACATTTGTTGAAAAGCAATGTTGTATAGACTAGTGTAGGGTTGCATATACCGTGGTTTTTGTTTCCCTGAAAAACAGTTAAAACTCCGTGATTAAAAACCTCGACCTTTCGAGAGAATTCATGCCTACAACAGCTTATTGTATAATACTACCTACACTAGACCTGACCCCATGTAGTCTTCAAATAATATTATGTTTGCCGCTTCATTGTCGCATTGAAGAAAAGGGTCAAACATATATCTCTTGAAGTTATTTTCTGACGAGAACTCTTGCCATTTCATTTTTTCATTAAAAGGCAAAATTGCATGTATCTCTATTTAAATACGATTTAATGGGATTTATGAAAACGTATACATAGCTAATAACTTAGTAACTTTTTCTCATTAAATTCAGCTTTGCATGTCATCTTTTTAATTTAAGTTTATGCAAATGGATATTTGTTTAATAAGCCATACTAGAATAGAGACGTATTTAATACAGACTTAACGAAGTTGTTTAAATGGCTTCAAACTTTAACGTTGTTTTTATAACGAAATGAAAAACTTGTTTAAATAACATTATCTGCGTAACTTAAGCCGTTTTAGTAATAGGATTTAAAAATGGAATTCATAAATATTTAAAACTATTGAAAGGCATATTAATGTATGCATAGCGGTAGCTATTTCATGCTGTGATATAAAGTTACAAATTAACTTGCTGTTGTAAATAAATGCATTGTCCAGAAGTCGTGTATTGTAGCTATCCTATTATAGTAGGCAAGCGACGAGATAAGTTCTCCAATAGAAAATTTAACAATAGAAAATTTAACTATAAATATACTTTTTAGTTAGGATTTGATTTGCTTCAGTATATAGACAGTTGTGTCTATATAGTTTTGAAGTTCTTTCAGAAATTGTACAAATCTGGACAGAGAGAAAGTTGTCGAGCTCTAACCAACTGAGCTACAGAGAGACAGTTGTCGAGCTCTAGTCAACTGAGCTACAGAGAGACAGTTGTCGAGCTCTAACCAACTGAGCTACAGAGAAATAGTTGTCGAACTCTAACCAACTGAGCTACAGAGAGACAGTTGTCAAGCTCTAACCAACTGAGCTACAGAGAGACAGTTGTCCAGCTCTAACCAACTGAGCTACAGAGAGACAGTTGTCGAGCTCTAACCAACTGAGCTACAGAGAGACAGTTGTCAAGCTCTAACCAACTGAGCTACAGAGACAGTTGTCGAGCTCTAACCAACTGAGCTACAAAGGCCAGTTGTCGAGCTCTAACCAACTGAGCTACAGAGAGACAGTTGTCGAGCTCTGACCAACTGAGCTACAGAGAGACAGTTGTCGAGCTCTAACCAACTGAGCCACAGAGAGACAGTTGTCAAGCTCTAACCAACTGAGCTACAGAGAGACAGTTGTCGAGCTCTAACCAACTGAGCTACAGAGAGACAGTTGTCGAGCTCTAACCAAATGAGCTACAGAGAGACAGTTGTCGAGCTCTAACCAACTGAGCTACAGAGAGACACTTGTCGAGCTCTGACCAACTGAGCTACGTACAGAGAGACAGTTGTCGAGCTCTAACCAACTGAGCTACAGAGAGACAGTTGTCGAGCTCTAACCAACTGAGCTACAGAGAGACAGTTGTCGAACTCTAATCACAAGTTCATGTATATATTTAGGGTACTGCCATGTTTAGTTTATGGGATCAATATATTATTTTCATGTATTCTTTAAATTTTTGTTAATCCATGAGTAACATTGGGAGTGACACATTCAGTTCGACGTCTGATTTGACACCGTAGGCCACGCTGTACCACGCTGGCCACGAACTCAGTTTTAACAGTCAATGAGATAGTCTAAACATTTATAATAGTAGTAAGAAGCAGAAACATGCGGAAGTTATCGAAAGAGTAAACCTTTGTTGTTAAACGTTGCTCCTGGGCAGCAAACGAAGATGCCGTGACCAGCGAATCCAGTACAGTGTAAATGGGATCCTAGACTCTAGTGTCGTATCGAAATGCATTCGGTTCGGCGCATGGAAACAGCGGACCTTACCCGGGCCTATGCAAACTGCGCGCAATTCTGCGCATCATTTGAACAACGAGCTATATGCTATTCAAACTTCGTGAGAGCAATCTCTGTCAAGTCATACTTCGATATCTGCCAATAAGCGCACAATCCGACGTGTTAATTGGTAATCAGAATGAGCGATAGACTATAGTAGTATTATCTTCACGTGATCTCCAAGAGTACGCGGTTAATATCTATTCAAATCAAAGTCAATAAGCTAAAGCAAGATTTTAAGTCCTGTGGGAAGTCACAGCTTTATTTATCCCAACTCATTTGTGTAATACCAATATATCGTCTGGGGAGCTTTGTTGAAGATCATTAAACTGAAAAACTTAGTCTACAAGAAAATTAATTTTGTAGACTGAAAATACGACCTAAACTGAATCTCGAACGTGCTATGTCAGTGTAGCTAGTGTCTGTAATATGATTGATAACTTTTGATCGATAGGGATACAACTATGTATCTCAAAGTACTCCGCCTCAGGAGGAACGTAAACTAAAATAGTTCAGAAACGTAAACTAAAATAGCTTTGTTTGTACTGGATATAGCTTCGTATCAGTTTTGTCTAAATTTAGTTCACCCCATGAGGTATCCAATTCGGCTATGTGATACTGGACTTTATAGGAAATGAATTTTTAGTTGGTATAAATCTTCGGAATATTTGTGGGATGAAATTTTCCGGTGGCTTGAATCAGAGCTGACAAGCTATACATCTATAAATCGCAGCTGCTGGGAAATACGCCTGACCCCAAACAGACAAATCAGCTTGAACACCGTACACTAAATCAGCCAGCGTATCGGTGATGTATATTTTTTCCTCAAGGCTTGAAAAGAGCAATTATATAACTGCATTTGCATAACATTTAAGTTGTGTGGGGGAGTTTGTTTGATTAAGGCTTACGTTGCTTGACAATACAAATCTGACTATTACTTAATGAGGAAACTTATTGTGAATGCCTCTGGTCTTAAAACAAAACTAACTTTATTTATACTGGATAGCTCTATTAGTTCTAAACTGTTCTTACTAGAGATCCAGTAACTATCATCTCGTATTGATCCAGTGTTACTGCAGGAGGAAACTTAAACAAAATTAACTTTATTTATACTGGATAGCTCTATCAGTTCTAAACTGTTCTACCTAGAGATCCAGTAAGTGTCATCTTTTATTGATCCAGTGTTACTACAGGAGGAAACTTAAACTAAACTAAACTAAGTTTATTTATACTGGATAGCTCTATTAGTTCTAAACTGTTCTTCCTAGAGATCCAGTAAGTATCATCTCTTATTGATCCAGTGTTACTACAGGAGGAAACCTAAACTAAACTAAACTAAGTTTATTTATACTGGATAGCTCTATCAGTTCTAAATTGTTTTCCCTAGAGGACCAGTAAGAATCATCTCTTATTGATCCAGTGTTACTACAGGAGGAAACCTAAACTAAACTAACTTTATTTTTACTAGATAGCTCTATCAGTTCTAAACTGTTCTCCCTAGAGGTCCAGTAAGGATCATCTGTTATTGATCCAGTGTTACTACAGGAGGAAACCTAAACTAAACTAACTTTATTTATACTGGACATAGCTCTATCAGTTCTAAACTGTTCTTCCTAGAGGTCCAGTAAGGATCATCTCTTATTGATCCAGTGTTACTACAGGAGGAAACCTAAACTAAACTAACTTTATTTATACTGGACATAGCTCTATCAGTTCTAAAATCAGAGCAGGTAAGGAAACGCCTTTCAGGACTTTCATCTATAAGATTGTGGGTTCGATTCTCTGGTTGCCCACTCATGTGAAAAGAGTCAGTCAACGCTCTGCCGAAAGTCGTGGGTTTTCTCCGGGTGCTCTGGTTTCCTCTCACAGGGAAAGTTGACAGGGTGGGTTGGGATAAACACAGTTAAGAAAGTAATATCACAATTGTTGCAAAGATGATCTATATATAATTATAGGCTAAGTATGTTATTAGGTAGCGTGATACTTGATGTAAAGCGCATTTAATCATACCCACATGTAAATCTGCACCGAAATCTAATCTTAAAATTGTTCCTTTTTGAGGTTCGGACTGAAACGATTGTTACCATTAAATATATAATGCAGAAAATGTTTTGGAATTGAAGTCAGTCAAATACGATCCCACTGCTTTTAGCCAATAAAAAATGAGGATTTTTTAACGTATAATATTTACAGTTTCATCGGCTTAGAATTGTGTAAGACAGTTCCAATTCTATTGATTCAATGCATCTTATTTATTCAACCCAGTGCCCAGTGACAGTTTTATGCAAACAAATCAGTATACTTCCAAAAAATTCTATTTGTTTTTCTCCGTGGGAATCGCGCTCTTGCCTTTTGTCAATGGAAAATGGATGTCAAATGTCTATAAGTATAAACAGACTAAGATTGTTTAAAGGTTTAGGAAATTTTTAGCAAATTTCTTGTTCATCTTTTTTTTGAAGTATTTAAGAATTAAGTATTTAAAAAAAAATCGATCTCATGATCAATCTTCAAACTGCATTTCAACATATACCTCAACTGCTTTTAGATTCATTTACCTATAGATAGTTAAAGAGCTTGTTTCTAATCAAATCGAAATTAGTAAATTTCCCATTATTTAAATGAAACAAGCGATTAAATGAATGGAACGAATACGCCAAACAGCGACATTTTATAAACTCAAAATACATGTTCAGGCCTTTGAAATATCGGTCAGAGAACCGTCTGACGTTCGATGATTTTGAGTTTGGATCATGCAGACATATGTATTGTGATGTCCGATGACATTGAGTTCAGTTTGGCTTGGAAATAAGTATGAATGCAGATACAACTGATTAATATCAGCACAATTTGGAAAAGTTATATGAATCTTGGCAATGAATTTCCTGCACTTGATTACACAATTCCATTTCACGTTTTATACATTACTCTGATTCTCCATTCAACATACGAGCCTCTAGTCCTAGACTAGGGTACATTTTGATTGACGTTGGACAAAGTTACAGTTAGGTCGGACACCAATTCACTCGGGTCAGACAAACAATAAACCTCAGTTTCACTTATATTAGATCGGACAGAATGTCCAGTGGTTTCCTCTATACATTGGACAATTTCACGAATGGGTGATCGGACAATTTCCATCACCGAAGGATATTTTAAAATATATAATTAAAGGCAGAAGACACGAGACAATTGTTGCATTCTGACAGTTTTCAACCTTTT